TATAAGTACTCTGGCTTGTTTTTTTTGGAGAATTCTGGTGACAGTGTGGAAGGCTGATCTGTACTTTAGGATGGGGCTGGGCCAGAGATGGAGATGCCAGGGCCTGGCAGGAGGGCCCTGCATGGATTGGTGTCTAAGGCATGGGAAGACCTAGGCTTGCCTAGCTCAGAGTCCTGGCATTGGTGGTACTCCACACCTGGATTGCTCTTGCACTGGCTTACCCTCATGGTCTTCCATTAACTCTAACCTGCAGAGAGAGGCATTTTGGGACTCTTACCTACTGTGGATCACCAGAGACTGGGACTGAGATACCAAGACACTGAATACCCTGGGAATTTAAACATACATGCCAAACAGTCAAAGGTAGGCCCCAAGGCCATGAGGATGTGAGTTTCAATGAGAAACTAGCCTGTCTCTCTTTTTAGCATCTGGTATATGATATGTGCTCAGTAAGTATTTCTAGGATGAATTAGTAGGTGGCTTTCTGGTGGTTTCTTTTGTTTTCCTGTTCACTTCTTTCTCCACTCTGATACTGCAATGGCTTAGTTTTTTCTTTCTTTCTGGACCTGATCATGGAAAGCTGCTTGCTTTGGATCACTCATCCATTTCAGAGGAACACTCTCTCAGGTGGCGAGACTGTTTATCTCCATGTCAGATGCTGGCCACCCCCGCCCTTCCCTGGTACTCTTTGGGCTGGTCTGAATTGGAGGACATCCCTGCTTTGTTACTCTGCCATCTCTTCAGAGATGCACAGCCACACACAAGCTTTTGGCAGAGCAACGTCCCAAGCATGAAACCCTGAGGCTTGACAGACACAAGTCTGAGCCAGGCTCACAGGACTGTGTAGGACAGACAGGTGCTGAAATTCAAGCCAGACCAAACATTTATCTAGTGTCTTTTGTGTACAGGAAATTGCAGTATATGTTATGGGGGACACTTCACACCTAAAATGTGTCCCAAGAGGCAAATGGGACAGCAGGGAAAGACGATTCCTTTCCAGAACATTTTGAGATGACATCGGGATAACCAGATGGAGTGGTCTTGGAGACAGATGTGAGGCTGGCTGACAGTTGTCTCTGTAGAACCTAAGGTCCAGACTTAAGATTTTAAGCAGCACTCACAAGGATGATCTTAGAGCACACTGAGGTCCTGGATAATACTTAAAATGCCTGGAATCACAGTACAGATTGTATCTGCAGATATGGGAAGTTGTACCAATGAATTTTTCTTTTAAAAATGACAATATGAGTATGTTCTGTTCACTTTAATTAGGTGTCAGAATTCTCCTTCCGTTGTCCACTAGGGGCTAGACTGGCAGGTCACTTCTGGTGGATGCAAGCAGCTGTTCCCAGGTGACAGAAACCAAACTGGGGAGCTGTGGGGACTCCAGTTTCCCTAGGTGGTCTAGATGGGACACCTGCCTTGGGGATCTAACGACTCAGAATAAGCTTTTCCAAGCTCAGAGCTTTCACGAGGACATCAGCCTTATGACTAACAGGGTCTGGTAAAATCCCATGGTTTCATCTTTTGGCCCCAGGGCCAGTCTTGATCAGGAGGGAGTAGTTAGGGCTAGACCCTGAGTAAAGCCCTTTGCTGCTCTGAGCCTTCCTTCCTCAGACATCTAGCTGGGGGTGGGGTTTCTTCCTGACCTGGGACAAATCTTTATAGGCTGCCTGACAAAGGTGGGTAGATGCCACCCTAACTTGCCTGGGCTTGCTGCCGAAGAGGGTCTATTAACATCTTTTGGACCTAAGGTGCTATGCTCAGTGCCTTATTTAGTCCCTGGGACAACCCTGTCTGTAGACTCTACCCTTGGCTCTCCCACAGCACAGAGAAGTCCTGCAGCCTCCTTAAAGTCAGCTGGGAGCTGGATTCACACACAGGCATTTTCCCTGCAGAAATCTGGCCCTAATCAGTGTGCTCTTTGGTCAGATCATCAGGCGTATTCTTCGTGTTATGGTGGCAGCTGACTGTGCTAGGATTCCCACACCCTGTGACTTACCAAGACTAAATAAATTAGCCACTCTTGACCTTTCCAAATATCAGATGAATTTTAACAAGCTTTTATATAAAACTGACCTTTATTACAATTAAAAAGAACAATGGCAATTTGATAAATACCTTTAATTACAAGGTACCAGCAATTTACAAGTGATTAATACTTTTTAATATACAGCTTGAATAAGGTTCATTACATGTAAACTATAAGAAGACATCACAAGTTAAACCCAAGCCTTTTATGACAATTTGGAATTGAAGTATTACCATCAGAGACAGAAAACAAACACCCGTGTCAATTCCTTAGGTACCGTTACTGGATGAATGATCGTGACCTGGCCACAGAAGAGTAGTGGAAACACGCCTCAAGTTGAAACATGACTAACAGTATTGCTATTATATAAATCCTAAATACAGTTAATAACTGGATCATTAAAAATGATGCAATTTCAATTTATATAGCACCTTTCTTCAAAGAGGTCAAAGCACTCTTTGTTTATTTAGATGATCTCAATTGTCCCCAAAACATCCCCATGAGGTAGGCAGTGGTTGGTACCATTATCCCCATTTTGTAATATGGAGAAACTGAGGCACAGAGAAATTCAATCATTTGTTTGAGGTCATACAGTAAAGTCAATGCTGGAACAGGGAATCACAATCCTGTGCTCTTGTCTCCAAAACCAATACTTCTCTTTAGACTAAACTGGAGAATTTAATTCAACACTTTAATTCACTTTTCCAAGAGAATTTAAAAATGTGCACTTTTTCTTCACCCATACAACTGTTGAAATACTATAGGCAAGAAACAAACACTCTGGGACGGATGGTAGAGAGATGCTATATTCTTCAGAAAGAACCTATGGGAGGCTTTTGGTTTTCTTTTACTCAAGGAGTTTCTTTTCTGGTGGAAACAGAAGTCTTTAGAAGGAACACATTTGAAAGGCTGCTTCTCCTCACTTACAGGTTGCAGCTTTAACAGCCATACTATGTTATCGTTATCCACAAACCAGGTTTATTCTTGAGTTAGAAAGGAAATATCTAAAAAACAAGTCCAGTCTTTGAGATAATTTTCCTTGCTTATGCATATGTACTGTTTGAGTTTTCAGATCACAAGCAGCAGCCAGGGAGCTGGGAGAGTCTATTTTTGAGAGAGACACATGGGTGGGGAGCCACTCACAGCACTTTGTTCGAATTTGCTTTTCATCCCCCCTACAGAGTCAAATGTGTATTTGATACTAAAAAAGTATTGAAAAATATGTGGGATGCTTTAAAATATTGTTGACTAGTTTCTGGAACTTAACTTTTCCAGGCATCCCCACTTGACAATCTGGGACTTAACTTTTTCATGGCATCCCTGCTTGACAAACTCTGCTAACATCACTGTCATCATTCCCATTTCCCTGGGCTGCTGTGAGGCAGAGTGTTCTAGATTGGCTTTAGAAAAAAAAAAGAAGATGGAAGTTTACATCTAAAAATAAATTTTAAAAAGCAAGCTTAAGGTAAGGGATGGATGGTGAACCTCATGTCAAGTTAATTTACAGGTTTCACATGGTAAACGTGGGACTGTGTCAGTGGTGTTCAAAATCTCCAGCCTCCACTTCCACAGGTCAACCTGTGACCTCCTGGAGGCCTGTGAGGCAGGGGGATTAGAGGTGGACACTCGGCTGTGATGGAGAATGATTCTGTGTCAGCTGGCCAGGTCTCCAATAACAGGGGAATGTGACCGCTGCTGGTGGATACATCAGGACATCCTGCAGATACAGTGCACAAAGGCCAGTTGGGCAAGATGCCCATGGGTGAAGAAGAGACCTGCAGGCACTGCTCTACAAATGGACAGAATACCACCTGTGCAGGAGCAGGCAAAATAGGGTAGGAAGATATAGTGACTTCATGCCCTAGTCATCAGAAACCCTCAACAGTCTCAGAGTTGGGGAAGAATAGTAAGATACTGACTCTAACATGAGGCATTTTTTAACTTATAAAACCAAGATTTAAACACTTTCACATTTGAAAACAACTCTCCACTCTTTCATGAATTGGACAGTTGGACCATCACAAAGATCTATGAAGACAGTGAGTGACTACTGTGTGTCTTGAATTACTTTTTTACTGTATTTGAGTAAAAGGGGGTATTTCAAACTAGGAACACCAAGAAACATGTTACTTTTAGAGTGGCTATCTTTATGAGGAAAAAGTATGTGAACAAGAGCATTCCCAAGTACTTATAACAGCCTTTGCCTGGCTCTATTTCAAAATCCCCTAGAAAACACAAGGCATGTTAATACAATATGATCTTTAGAAAGGTAAGGTAATGACATGAAAACATATTCCCATTGCCAGTTTAAAAGAAGTCTGAGGAGAGACAGTCGCCAACCTTTATAATACATACAAGGTGACTTGAAACAACCAGCACTTAAAAAAGAAAGAAGAAAAAAATAGGGTCTCTCCATGTAGCCTCAGCTGGGCTTGAACTCGAGATCTTCCTGCTTCAGCCTTCTTAGTGCTGGGGTTATAGGCCTGAGCCAACATGCCCAGCTACTATACATGAAAAGAAAAATACCCATATGTAAGTGATAATTCAAGAATAAATCTGCTTTGAGATAATTGAATATTAAACTGAATGATCTTGCAAATAACCTTTACAGCAAAAGGTCACTAAGAAATTGTAGTTCTTATTTAATCTGATAGTAAGAAGAATTTGAACAAGTATTCCTCAGTAACAAAAAACAATGAAATACAAATATTTAGAGGTGTGACATAAAAAGACATAAATTCTAATTTATTCTGTGTTCTGAATTGATTTATTTTCTCTCTCTCTCTCTCTCTCTCTCTCTCTCTCTCTCTCTCTCCTCTCTTCTCTCTCTTCCTATCCTCCCTATTCTATCCCCAACTAAAGCACCCCCATTTCCCTATTTCCCCTTAATAATGCCTGTCTCCTCTTATCCCCACTTTCTTAAGTTCCTTCCTCCCGTTTACTCCCATGGTTCCGTTATGTCCTAGGCTGACCTTGAACTCACAGAGATCCACCTGCCTCTGCCTCCCAAGTGCTGGGACTACAGGTGTGTGCCACCACACCTGGCTGGACTGATTTCTTAAAGAGAAGCACTTTCAGTCTGAGTGTGTTCAGCTCATTTAATGCCACTGCCTGAAATAAAATATTTAAGAAATGGTACAATTGGGAACAATACTACAAGATGAGGAATTTAGGTTTCACTGTAAATAAAGCCATATTTAACATCAACACATGTTCCTATGTTCACCTCAGTCACAAACTAACATCAAACATTTCACTTTACATTTTCCCACCAACAAAGCACAGTATGTCTGTCAGGGTTTCCAGGAAGTGGCCCCCAGCATCTACAAATCCTGAAGCAGCCAATGCTAAGCTGTCTGGGTATTAGAAACCAATACTTTCAGAAGAATGGCACCACAAGGTCACACAGATTCCTATTCACTATCACAAGGGCCACTGAGAACAATGGTATTTGCTCATATACAAGATCCTGACTCCGTGTTGACCTGAAAGCTCTAGAATCAGCCACAGCCTCATCACAAGACAGACTTTGGTCTATCCACATTCTATCAGCACCTGCCGATTCTGTTGGAAAGCCCTGGGTTATAACTAGAAATGAAGCTGATTTTGCCCAGGAGCCTGCCTTGCCTGTGCTCTAGGTGCAAGGCTTTCCTGTTGCTTTCGGCTGCATCTCTTCCCGACACTTACTGAGAAGCACGTCCATTTACATGCCTTCTCTCAGGTTGAATGCCGGGCAAGCCACATGTATAACAGAACAATCCTCAAACACCTCTGCTTTTCACTCACGAGAAATAGGAATAGAATTTAAAATTGGAGTGAATTCATTAAGAAAATTAAACAAGGGCAGTTCAAGAAGACTTCTCATAATTACCAAATGAAACTGTTGGAGAACTGTTTCTTCTAATTCTGTTTTTATGACAAAGTTCATCATAATAGTAGGATAAATCTTCTAAATATGTAATAGAGCACAGCCTAATTAGCACCAGAGTTGTGTCAGAGCCAGCAACACATACATACATACATACATACATACATACTGTACATTCTATATGTGTGTATATATAGCTTATCACTGGTGAAGTCAGGCAATGTTCTAATTACACAGATAAAAGTCAAGTAAGAGAAACATACTTCCATGCTGAGATGAAACTTTAATTTTCTGTGTTGACCATCTATTGTCAATTTATCATTCAATTAGAGTTTACTGTGGGATTTTGGAGGGTAGAAAAATCAGTGATTAACCCTTTCCCCACAAAGAATATTGGCATGTTTAGAAGCTTTAAATGATCTAATGATATAATTTAGAGCAGGACAAGTAAAAAAAATATGCAGGTAACATATTTATAAAAACCAATTTCTTTTAGATTTTCTCCAACATTTTATATAAAATAGGTTGTATTTTTCTCATGACACATCTCAGAAATATCTTAAGCAGCATAAAATGCTTTCAAACTTTTAAAGCATCTAAACAAAAAGAAATGGCCTCCTTCTAATTAAGATAGATTTATATAATCTGATTTAAAGAACAAAAATTTCTCAAAATTTATTTTTGCAGTGCTGTATCATTTCATACAATTAGGTCCACACCGTGGACGCCAGTGGTGAATTTTAAGTATATAGTGACCTGTTTTGATTATCTCTCACACATTTAAACTCTGTACATTGAGATCAAGATGAAAACTTAAGAAGTCATAGGCTATAACTCAAAGATATGAGGACAGATTTTGAACCAAGTAGAAGAATAAAAACTTGCAACCCTTCGACCCCCCACCAAAAAAACCCCTGTATAATTAAGTCAAACAACGACATACCAGTAAATACACAATTAAGTACCCAAAGCTCAGAAGAGCAGAGCTGCTTTCCTAAAGTCCACTCTGTTCTCCATCCAACCCTCACAGGCCATGCAATTACTTATCTTTTAGAATATTTGCTTGAGGGCCTTATAGTTCCTTGTAAAGAAAACTTAAAATATCTTCTATCACAACTTATTCTTACTACTGGTTCTCAAACTAGAGCTTTCAGTGCATATTTTATGACTATATTGCATAATATACTTGAAAACTTCTGGGACATTCTGACAATGAGATCTTAAGATGACATGATTATTTATAATGAACTTGTCTCTAAAGAATGTGTTTTGTACTTTAGAGATCATACCAGTTTCCCTGCTAAGTAAGACTTTCTATGAAGTGCCATAAAGGATGGCACCGTGGCATACATGAGGCCAGGAGTGCCATGTGTTATGGCTAGTACCATGTGCTAAGGGACCCTTGTGACCTGAGAGATGGTTGAGTCAAACTCATTAATACAAAGCACTGAACACCAGCTTGTAGAATAGCCTTGTACTTTCCTGCTCCCACAGTTCCAGGGGTACCCTGTCTCCTTTCTGATCAGCAGTGGTTGTGCTTATCCATGTGGCATCTTCATGGCTGACTTTAGCACCACCACAGTGTACCTCAAGAGTTCTCTTTACAATTCCACAAGCCTGACGCACAGCAGAGACAAAACCAGTTCATGAATACAGGATGGAAACACACAGCACAGAGCCATCACCACAGTGTTCAGGACGCTTCAGCTTCATCCTCCCAGTCACATTCTTCATCACAGAAGGGAAAACAAGATTATTAAGTCGTTAATGTCAGCTGTCAGGGCAGTAAGTGGTAATGGTCTCTCTTTGTCTTTATCAGTGTAGGAAGAGTTTCATGACCACACTTCAGTTAGGCTCCTTTTAAAATGAAAAGTGAACACAGTTTCCAATGTTGGCCTCAGAAGATCTAAAGAGATGATTAAATTCAAACCAGGCTGAACTCTTAATCTGAACTACTTCAGCCACTGATTCTGTAAAACGAAGGAAAAAAGTCTAATAGGCAGTTTGCACTGGCAAGCATTTCTTGAGACATGGCATTAAACCTTAATCAAAGTCTGATACTTTTAGGAAGTCCATAATTCAGATTTTGTTCTTTTTATCACTCTGAATATTTCAGTATTGTCCACCAGAACCACTGAAATGCAATTTATGCCTATTGCATTTATGTCCCCAGTGGTCTAGGTGATTTAAATCAGGGAAACTCCAAGTACCATTTGAAAAGTTGAGTCTTTAAAAACCATCAATGTTATACTACTTGTTAGAAAAAAGAATAACAACTATTTGTAATTATCTAGCTTATGTGCTTTATGTATCAATTCAAAATGAGAGTATAAACCACTGTACATAAAAATCAAAATAGTTAATATATATATATTTTCTGGCATTTTCTAGAAATTAGGCATTAAACGTAAAGCATCTTATAAATTTATATAATAAAATAAATGTTTACATCTCATTCTTTGATTACCTTAGGGATAGCAGATAACACGTAAGTCAAACAGCCGGGTGTGGGCAGCAGAGATCACCAGAAACAGACATTCATGTCCACAGCCCTTCAGGGATAGAGACCATCGCTGCTGTCCACACACATGGTCTGGGTTCCAACATAAAAATTAAGGCTCTCTGTTTGGAAAGAATGAGCTCTAGGTTTAAACAAATATAGCAGTACCACAATATTTACTGGAAATACTGAAAAGGCTTTCACAAGTTTTCGAACACTGTGGGGAAAGGTCTGGACTAGAAAAATTTAAAAAAAAACATTGAATCCAACCTCAAGTACCTTCAGAAAAGGCTACAGAGCCAAAACAAGAAGGAACAGAGACCCAAGAGACTCCAGGACGCCCTGCCCAAATCTAGAGGCCTGAACTGTCCAGATTCACAGGGGTCAACACAACAGCTCTGGAAGAGGATGGGCAAAGGAGACCCAGCAGCCGGTTTCTCATCATCCTAACACCCATGTTGAAGACTAGTGCCAAGCCCTGTGGAAGAACTTCCTTGGAATGTACCATAGACATGATGGAATCTCAAGGGGGTGAATGCTGGGTATTTTAGCACTAGTAGCAGACAGAGAAAAGGGAAGCAAGGAAGAAAAACTTGGCTCCTCCACATGACAGTACTCCAGACAGATGGAATTGTAGCCCTGGCTGAGTAGAGCTCTCCCTCACAGCCTCCTTCTGCTGTGGGATGAATTCCACTATGGAGTATTTTGCAGAGGATCAGGTGTTCCAGGGAGTTTCTTATAAGCACCAGGGAGTTGGGGATGTGGCTGTCCCTGGAGCAGGCAGGAGCAACTTTGGGGCAGTAGGTCTGTACCTTACTGTTTCAGAAACTGGGAAAACAGTCATGTGCCTGTACTTGACTTCAGAGCACTACAGCAGCGTAGGGAGTAGAGGTTGATGTTGCTTCTTATCCTCCACAGAAACTGTCCCCAGATGCTGTTCACAGGTTCTCTGGGGCCGCATTCTGGGTTGCTAGAGTCTGGTGACGTCCCTGCACTGCTGCAAGTCCCCTATGCTCTCATAGTCATTCTCCTTAGGGAAGAGGTGGCCATTGGTCTCCAGGGGAAGCTTTTCTTCATCTCTGTTTAGCGTCTGTATGGCTTCATAGTCTGGCTCTGGCTCCGAGCTGGGTCTCCTTGCTGGGGGAAGTGTGCTGATGCTGTTGGGAGTTTTCTCGAAGTCTTTCACGGTGGCATAGAGATCATTACAGGAAGAGGGCGACCTGTGAGGGGTGCCCTGCATGGAGCTGCAGGTGGATTCTGGCCCTTTCAGCAGCTGTCCTGATTTATGTGCTGATTGTCCAGGCTTATTCACTGAGGAATACATTGCTGAGATCTAGGAAACACAGGGAGAACTGAATAAGTCACCGAAGCTGTGACTTCCTTCTTTTCTTTTTGGTGACAAGGTACATACTTGGCACACAGGAGCATCTCTCTTTTTCTGTGTGCACACATGTGTGTGCATCTCTTTAAGATTGATCTTTATTATCTGTATTACTTCTGGAGTACGTTACTAGAGAATAATGAAAACATCTTCATTCTGTAAGCAGATCAATCATATTTGCTTAATTCTCTGCAAACCAAGTTTTGCGGGTTTCCTGTGGGGACCATGGACATGAGGAATGGAATGCAGGAAGCTCTAGGACCTGGCTAGCTCTATTTGATTTCCTAGATTAGAATGATATTCTTTTCTTTTCTTTTTGACAAGGTCTCTCCCCTCCCCTCCCCTCAAAACAAAAAACAAAAACATGGCTGCAAAGAATAAGCATATCCTTATTTTTCTTTCTTTCTTTCTTTCTTTCTTTCTTTCTTTCTTTCTTTCTCTCTTTCTTTCTTTCTCTCTCTCTTTCTTTCTTTTTCTTTCTTTCCTTTCTTTCCTTTCTTTCTCTCTCTCTTTCTCTCTCTCACTTTTACTTTTCTCTCTTCTCGCCTTCCTTTCCTCCCTCCCTCCTTCTCCCTCTCCCCCCACCCCTTGTCTTTTTGAGACCGAGTCTCCAAGTAGCCCCAGATGGCCTGGAGCTCACTATGTATACCAGGATGGCCTTGAATTCAGAGATCCCCCTGCCTCTGCCTCCTGAGTGTTGGGATTAAAGGCATGTGTCACCATGCCCAGCTTTGGATTTATCTTATATTACAGTGATATGACTCCTTCTAATACCTAGGCTAGGCAATAAATAGCCAAGTGGCCTCTCAAGGGCCCATGAACATCTTCCCTTTCCAGGGCTGGCTGACTGTGGGCAAGGTTTCCAGCTGGCCTAGAAGAAAGGCTTGCTGCCTGTTAACTGGCCATCTGTATGCAATTTTTTTTTTCTTGAGACAGGGTCTCCCTGTAGCTCCAGCTGGCCTGGAACTTACTACGTAGACCAGGTTGGCCTTGAACTCACAGAGTGCCACCTGCTTTTGCTTCCCAAGTACAGGGATTAAAGGTGTGTATCACCATGCCCAACTTGTATGCAAAATTTTATCACCTTCTGGTGGCTTAGTTTTTCTAAGCTTTGGCAGAAAAATGATATTGGGAAAACCCCAATGCCACGGATCTGACAGTTCTAACGAATGAAAAGCTAATATTCTCACCTCAGAGGTCTTAATGGAAAACTTGTTCTCAACTTAAGAAGGACAATTTCTGTGAATTTAGGAAGAACAATAGAAAACCCACTGTTTCTTATGTTGTGCAAATTATATGAAATTTATTATCTAAAAAGTGGTTCAAGCCAAGAAAATGAGAAGTTCATCAGGGGGGAGAACACTGGATGCCAAGGATGTGGGGAGCTGGCACAACATATCCTTCAAGGATAAGGGCAAGGAGGGCAAAGAACCTGTACCTGGATGATGAAAGCAGCCCCTCCCTGCCCTGTCTCTCAACTTCTGTCCCCATGTCCCCATCATTACTGCTACTACTGTACCCTCTCCTCCACTTTGTAAGAGTTCTTGGATCTTCTTGACCTTTGTACTTTAAAAAGTTGAACCAAGTGTGTGAGGGTACCAGTGACATTCCCAGTTTCATAAAGGCTTTTCAAACCTAACACTCTCTTTGGATGAATATTTGTCTTTTATGACTATTACTTTAAGCTCCCTTTGCTATTTAGCTGTTTAATTTTTCTCCTTAAAATCTTCCACCTTTATTATTAATTCTGTATATTGCTATTACAGTCTCATAATTTCTTTTCCTTTGCCCCATTTCTCATCTTCTTATAATGAAGTCTCCCTTTGTTGTTCTATTAAGTTGGGAAGATAGTACTGAAAACACAGACCTCATTTCAATCTGGGCGGTTTAACATTTCAAAAGTACAAAACAAAAATATGACGTCTACATTTACTTTTCTAAACTTCCTTCTCAAAACAAATGGTTGGGGATCACAGTTTTTTATTTTAGGTTAAAAATTCATCAATATAACTAGATGCTATTTTCACAAGTCATAAACTTTGGAAATGACTTCTATAAAATGGACAGAATCTAGACTCATTAGTTAGATTAACCTTGGCAAACTAACTGAACCATGTGCTCTTGTGACCTGAGTATCCGACCTTGATTCTGGGAATCTCAATTTGCTACTCTACCCCAAGATAATGAATAGATGTGGGTACAGTTGAGAATTAATATATCAAAGAGCTGAAAGACAGCTTGAAACTTCATTGAACACAGTGAAGATTGAGAAGAGTTGCTTGTCATTAGCTGTATGTTTTAAGCCTAGGAATGGGAGGGAAGGATTGTCTGATAAGATAAATATGGATCTACGTTTGTAGTTGGTGAAATGGTTTTGAATAAAAGTATGGGTGAGGCCTGACTCCAGGACATAGTTCCAGGGCACAGTTCCAAGAGACATCTGGGGAAAAGGGTGTCCACTCTTAAAACTGAAGTTCACAGGCTATTTTATTCTGATATTAACTGTAATGTGGCATAGTATCACCACAACAAACACAGGAAGCAAAGTGCTTTTAAACTGCATGTCAATAACTTTATCCTAGAGGACTTTTCTTTTACTCTCTAGTTTGCCGTTTTTTTTTTTTCATCCCAGGTGGAGTCATTGTTGATGTAGAAAACAGGGAAGAGGCAAGTCTTGGAGCCACAAGGCCTCAGTAGGAGGGGACTGCCATAGACTAGTGAGGGACACTATGGAGGAGATGGTGGAACAGTTGGGAGTTGCTCTTGAAGGGCCTTGATAGGCTCATCAGGGGTAACTCCTGAGTTTTGCCCTTTATAGCCATGGGGACAGTCTCCTTCTTTGGAATGGGAACAGGAAGGGGATTAGGCAGTATCATCTAAGGAAAGCACTTCTTGAACTCCAATGTGGGAGACTATCTTTATCTTCCAGCATTGTGCTGAGTACTGTGTAGGACACGATGTTCCTGTTCATGTGTGTGTGTGTGTGTCCCAGGCACAAAGCTCCCCCACTGGGCATTCCACTCCAGCCAAGCACAGCTAGAGCAGTGAAAGCTGTCTTCTGCTCTGTCTGAACCTAGCTTAACATGTGCCATGATTATGGCTTCTACACTGTGAAGGCTTCATTGCAAATCTCCTGAGATTTTAGCCCTAGGTCTGTTCACATGGCTGCTGTATCTGATGGTAGCCTCAGCTGGATCTGACCTTCTGGAAGTCACCCACTCTCCTCATCCAACATTCCTCATGGAGACAGTTTCTCTGTCTCCCAGGCAGGATCAAATTCCCTACATCTACCAGCCCCATGTTTCGGAATTTCCAGCCTGCTACTGATTTCCATCTAGGGTGGTCTTCCAGCTGTTGACTAAAGCTCCTTCCTCTTCCTCTCCCTCATCTCAGGATCTCCCTTTTCCTCTTCCTGTTTTGTCTGATTCTTTCTTCCTTCCCAGTTTCTTTCACTTTACTGGCCTGCTTCTTACCCTGCCATCCTTGTGACTCTGTCACATACCTGTCACACACCTTCCCAACATGTGAAACCAGTATCTAAACCTTGTTGTAGAAGCACAGGCTTGAGAGCATGCTAGCTCTTTGAGAAAAGGGGGGGGGGGGGAATTACAGAACATTTATTCCCAGAGAGAAGCACTACATTTTTTTTTTTTTTTTTTTTTGACACAGTCCTTGCATCAAACTGCCTCAGCCTCCTGAGTACTGAGATTGCAGGTGTGAACAGGTATGCCCTGTGAGATGTTTTTCTTTTTTCTTTTTGGATTTTTGAGACAGGGTCTCCTTGTGGCTCTAGCTGGCCTGGAACTTACTCTGTAGACCAGGCTTTGATCTCACAGAGATTCACTTGCCTCTGCCTCTGCTGGGATTAAAGGTCACTGTGCCACCACACCTCACTCATTGTTTTATTTCTGAGACAGAATCTCACATAGCCTAGGCTAGTCTCAAACATGCTATGTAGCCAGAGATGGCCTTGAATTCCTGGTCTTTCTTCCTTCTCCTCTCAGTGTCAAGATTATAGCCCTGTGTTCCCATGTTGGGCTTATGATAACTGAGATTATAGGTGAATACTACCATGCCTAACTTCTAGCTTTTAAGGAAATCTAATTACAACTTACCTCTTCTTCTGTAAGAGTTGGGTCTTCTTCCCGAGACTTGTATGACAATGAACTAAATCTCTGTCAAACAAACACAAATCAAAGGAAAGCAGTTTGAAGCTGATGGTCCAACACAGCATTTGCACATGTTTCCACATCTATACAAACACTTTCAAGTTATTTCTATGGAACACTCAGTGATTACAGGATCTCTTGAGACATACATTCTTACATTAGCTATTACTGATGTTCTTGACTACCTAGCTATATTTTAGGTACACAGTTCTTTGAATATTTAAATATGCAGGTGAAAATAACACAAAGTAGCTTTTAAA